CACCGCTCGCGGACCTCGCCGTAGCGGCTCTGCAGAGCCTCTAATCTCTCTGCCAGCAGCCTCTGCTCAGCAGCACAGCTCAGCCGGGACAGCGACTGCCCGACCCCCAGCGCCCGCGACACGTCGCTGGAGTGGCTCTCTATGTCCTCCTCGAGAGCCTGGATGGTTGGTGGGGGAGAATGGACAACAGAAAAGGGAGGGGGAAAAAAAAAAAAAAGAGTGGAGAATGAGGAAAATGAAATAAACGCAACTTAAAAGGGGGAACGCAACAATGGACGCAACTGAAAAGTGGAGGAGATGGAAAAGCCACCCCTGAATGGGTAAACTGAGGAGAAATTAAAAAGAAACACATGAATGGGGATGGGTTTTTTTCTCTGTCCAAATCTGCTGGGAGGTGCAAGGACACCGGTTTAATGTTTACCCTGGTGGGTCAGGGCTTGCAGCCTTCTCTGTACAACTCCTCCAGTCCTTGTTTGTGCCAAAAACCTCTCTGGTTGTGGTGGAAACAACACCACTGGAGCGGGACCTGACTCCAACCACCTCCATCCTGCTCCTGCACAGGCCCTACCTTGTGGCGGCTGATCTGCTGCTGGATTTTGGCAGTCTGGGTGCCAATGGGCTCAGAGTTGGCCAATTTCTTCTCTGTCACCGACAGCCAGTCGGACACGGGCTCTGTGGTTTCGTGGAACTGCTTTGCCAGCACCAAGATATCCTCCAGCTGCTTCTGCCTATAAAAAGTAATCATAAAATTAGAAGGGAATAATTTTTCAAGGACAGGTTGGAGCGACCTGGTCTGGGGGAAGGTGTCCCTGCTCGCAGCAGGTTATGGAACAAAATGGTTTTTCGGGTCCCCTCTAACCAAAACCAGTCTGTGATTCTCTGAGTCAGTGAAAACACTAAGGAGCAGCTCCCAGTTGGAGCCAGGCATGGGAAGCAGCTTCAGGTATTTGGAGGAAGCAGCTCTGCTCAGAGCAAGGTGAGACACCATTGTCAGGCAAGCTACAATGGCAAAGATAAAAATCAATGTGGAGCAACTGCAAAATAAGCTTTTCCTGCAGCTGTGCCTTTAGTTTGATGCCCTGAGAAGGCAGCAGAAGGGCTTCCCCATTGTGCAGCTTTTCATGAATCAGTTTGAGATGGAAAGGACCTTGAAGATCATTTAGTTCCATTTGTTCCATCCCTATCACTGTCTTGGAGATCTCTCAGCTCGTGGCCAGGCTCTTGGTCCTTCGGAGATTCTGGCTAAAGACAATCCTGGATGGACAGTCCTGGATGGACAGCCCAGCTTGCTGGCAATGATTAAAACCATGGAGAAAGGTCCAATCTGGCCTCAGAAATGACTTCATAACCTCAAACATCAGCTTAGGTAGAAATAAGTAACTCATAAACAAGATTCTGGCAGCATAAAGGTGTCAACAGGATGTTGCTAAACGTTAAAGCTTACAGGAATAAAAATAACATCCCTCCCCTGCAGGGAAATTATTTAATCTCAGCTCTTCCCTGCCATTGTAAACCCCTGCTATCAGCCCCAGCTCCCAGCCAGCCTTTGATTCCTCGTGTTTTCCAGCTGTTTCCAGGATGTGTCTGCACCGAAANCCCAAAAACACACACCAGGACAGGTCAGGCACCATCTCTGCTGCCACAGCTGCTGCTGGGGTCCATCCCTTGGCAATCCATGGGATTTACCCTTTGCCTATGCTTGCCATCCCTCCCACTGCCACTGGTGATGAGCAGTGCCCGGCTGCTGGCTCCTGCTGTCCCAAGCAAACCCTGCAGGGCTTCTTCACTCACCTGCTGAGACCTCTGGATAGCAGCATCGATCTCCTCCACCCTCTGCCTGATGGTGTCACTGACCAGCTTGTAGCGCTCGTTGGTGTCCGACACCAGCTTGTCCAGCCCCTCCCGGGCTCTCCAGGGAACCAGCTCCAGCAGAGCCCTGCTCACCTCGTTCACCGTGTCCAGGACCAGCCTGTGCTCCATCACCTCCTTCTTCAGCTCCTGTGGAAGCCACCCATGGATTTGTGTCCTCCCCAGCTCCTCCCCAAGCACAGAACAAACCATCCCTGCTGTTCTCCCACCTTTTGCCGCTGCTGGAACTGGGGGATCTGCTCTCCAGCAGGGGATTGCGCCCCGCTGGAGGCCAGCTCCTCCTCCACCTTGCTCATCCACCCTGTGAGCTCCTCGTGGGTGGACTGGAATTTGGTGGCCAGCTGCCGTGCCTGCTCCAGCGTGCGCAGGGCCTTGGAGCTGGCGGCGGTGATGTCGGAGTAGCGCGTCTTGATTCCGTCCAGCTTCTCCTGGATCAGCAGCACCTCCTCCCCTGCAGCAGGGGGAAAATGGTGCTGGGCTCTGGGGCCTTCAGGAGCCACCCCAGAAGGCGTCAGGAGCCACTTTCTCTGTCCCTCTCCCTTTTAATTTCAGCATAACTTTTCTTTGTATTAATGCGACTTCAGCCGGGTTTTATTAAGCGTTGACATCTTCCGGATGGGATGGGATGGGATGGGATGGGATGGGGTGGGATGGGATGGGGTGGGAGTGTGCTGCAAAGCCTGGTTTTGTCACAAGCCACCCCAAACCAAAGCCAGTCCAACACAGCTCTCATTAACGTTCCAAGGAAAAAGGGTCAGTTCACCCCTTGCCGCTATTTCCAAGAGGACACAGAGTCTGTCTGCCAAATCCTTTGGAATCACTCTTCCTCCTGGCTCTGGAGGCTTCAGGAGCCACCCCAGAAAGCTTCAGGAGCCACTTTCTCTGTTCCTCTTCCTTTTAATTTCAGCCTCACTTGTCTTTGTATTAATGTGAATTCAGCCTCTTTTTATTTCAGCCTCACTTGTCTTTGTATTAATGTGAATTCAGCCTCTTTTTATTAAGAGGTGACATCTTCCACCAGCATAACACCCATGTCACCCCTGGGATGGGATGGGATGGGATGGGATGGGATGGGATGGGATGGGATGGGATGGGATGGAAACTTGTGATAAAACCAGCTGCAAAGCCTGGTTGTGTCACAAGCCACCCCAAACCAAAGCCACCCCAACTCAGTTCTCATCAAAGCGTCACAGCTCCAAGTAAAAAAGGGTCAGTTCACCCCTCGCTGCTGCTTCCAAGAGGACACAGAGCTGCCTGCCAAATCCTTTGGAATCACTCTTCCTGCTCCACAGCTCCCACAAGGACACGGGGCTGTACATCTGCTCTGGGCAGACCACATCTGAAGGAAACGCAGCGCCCCGACCTCTCTTCCCACTCATAAACACAAACTCACACCCACGTGGCAACAGCCACAACTGCTCAGTCTGGGAAAGCAGCATTAGGAGAGGGCTGGGGGTATTTTTAACCTCTTTTCCATGTGATTTAGCAGCTGGCTGCAGTGAGAAAAGCCTCCCTCAGCACTGAGCATCCCCACAGCAGCACTGGGAATCACCCGCTCCCCAAGCTGGGAGCTCGGGATTTTGGGACCAAAGCAAATCCTAAGCTGGAGTGTTTGTGGCTCAGCATCTGGATGCAAACCAGCTACTCTGGGAGTTTCCAAAAGGAAATGAAGACCTGAGGGAGAAAAGCCTCCACCCAAGAGAGCATGGACTTCCCAAGGAAAGGCACGTGGAGGATGGATTCCCAGACCCCCCACATTTCCCCCGTGTTACCTGTGGTTTGCTTCAGGAGAGCTTGCCCATTTCTAATGGCTTGGTCCACGTTCTTCTTCCTGTTCACAATTTCCTCATTCAGAGCCTGAAGAAAAAGGCAAATTTGGGTTATCCTCCTGGCAGGTCCCTGAGATGCTGTGGGGAACATGAACTTCCCTCCTGAGCACAGGCAGGCTGGACAACCCATCTGAAAACTGTCCAGCTATCCTGCTATGGGAATTACTGGGATTTTTGGGACTCAAAGGCCCAAATCCCAGAGCAAACCCAACCCAGCCCATAGGATCTGCATCACCAAAGGATTTGTCCTTGCATTAGACAGAAACACACTCTTGCAAAGAGCCTGCACAGCCCCAGGGAGCGGATGCAGAGGCTTCCTCAGTGGCCAGCCCAGCTCCAAAAGCCCAGCAGACTTTCCCAGCTCTCAGTTTTGGAAACAGCATCCAGCCTTCTGAAGGCACAGGGTGGCCAAGCTGCCTCAGACACTGCTCACAAATTAAATGAACCATTTGAAGTTCCCCCGCCTTGAGAAACCCTTATTTTTTTTTGGTGGAGGGGGGGCCCACAATTGTTGTTTATAACACATGAAATCTCTTTACACTCCTCTCCAAACCTCAGACAGACCCAGCAGCTTGGCCAAATTAAAATCAGGCCCCCATAAAAATAAACAAAACCAGCTAAAATGCAACAAAACAAACAAACATGGAAGAAGAAGAAGAAGAAGAAAAAAATCAAAAATAAAGGGGAAATACCAGCTGGTCGGCATGCTGCTTCTGCAGGACGTCCCGTTTGAAATCCTTTACGGACACCGAGCCCAGCTTGTCCTCCACCTCAGCCAGCCAGTTGAGCACTTCCACCTCCTCCTCCCCAAAAATCCTGGCGTTGGCCAGGGCCTGGTCCAGCAGGGCTGCCTTGCGGCCGCACC